GGGGACACCCGGACGTGGACGGAGATGGGGAGGTGCAGAGACCCGGAGAGAGGGAGACGGAGACGCAGGGAGGGAGGCGGAGACGGAGACGCAGGGAAGGAGGCCGGGCAGCTCTGGCCGGGAGGTCAGGCCCCAGCTCCTGTCCTCGGGCCTCCTCTGGGGTCCGCACTGACACCCCTCCCAGGCCCCTAGCCCTCCTCATCTTTGCATGGGGGCTGCAGACCTCTCACTGACACGGGCACAACACTGAACCCAGGGTCTTGCACATGCCTGGCAAGTGCCCCACCACCGAGCTACCCTGGCCCCTATTCACCTTCTGAGGCAGTGGGCGGCCGTGAGCACCCACTGGGGGTGCACCAGGACGCCCCCGCACACCACTAAGCCATCGCGATACACAGCCACGTGCCAAGGCTGGGAATGCTTCTCACACGCCCAGCCTCCTACAATGTGGGGCTGGATGGGGGATGCGGCCCCTGCAGAAGGAGATGCGGGGTGGGCGCAGGCATGACAGGAGGGCTGGGGGCCAGGACTAGGAAGCCGCCCTGTGGTCTGAGGGGTACAGTGACACAGGACCAGGGCTGGAGTCCAAGGTCATGGGTAAGGGGTGGAGGGCGGCGGCTGGAATTGGGGGCCGTTCCCTGGGTGCGTGGGTCACTGGCGGGTCCTGATGAGTGAGACCTGCTCTCCAGAGCACACCCCAAGGCTGAGGACAGGAGACACCATGGCAGCGCTTGGGGGAGGCACTGAATCTAGAGTTGGGTCATGTGGGGTCATTCAGAGCCTTGGACTCGGGACAGGAGCCTGTACAGCAGCTGTGGGCTGTGGAAGGGGCCATTTGCCAGGAAAGGAAGGCCTTGAATTGAGGGAACAGTTCGGAGACCAATTGGAGTTAGTCTTCGGAGGTTCTGAAGAAGATACAGAGTCGGGCAGTCAGTTGTAGTCCGGGTGCTAAATGTTTTTCCTGCGTACAGATTGGCCGTTGATGGAGGGTCTGGGCAAACGGGGGCATTTTCAGAAAGCAGATACCAGGGGAAGGGGCTGTGGTCATGAGACAGACAGGCTGGCTCTGGGAGGGAGCAGTGTCGGCAGAATCTAGTTTTCCTGAGAGCAGAATTGGGGGATGGATGTCAAGATCTGGGGCATGGGGCTGCCGGTTCACAGCTGGATAGGGAAAACCAGTAGAATCCAGTACAATGAAGGGGCTCTAGAGACAGACCTCTCACTGAGAGCGGTCCTTAGATTCAAAGAGAGACAGAAATGGCCTGAGATCTGCCCCTTTAGTAGAGTGGCTGCTGGTAGGAAGTAGACGTGGGGAAAGAACGTTCTGGGTTCCTGAGAGGGAGCAGAGACCGAGGGCAGGAGATCTGTGGAGGATTTGGCAGCATGGAAGGGTTGGGGCAAGGATTTTAGGGTACGGCTGTGGGAATGGACACACACCCTGCACTCTGGTCTGGAGACGACTGTGGGCAGGAGGGCGAGGTAGGGTGCTGAGTGGGAGAGGAGGATTTATGGGGGACGAGGGCAGTGTGAGACTCTTGGCCCCTCCTCCTCCTCCTCCACCCCCCACCCCGACTCACCAGTCCGCCCCAGGGTCAGGGCAAGGAACACAACCAGAAGCCACATGGTGACAGAGCTGTCCAGGGCCAGGTGGCACACTTGGGACTGGAGAACCTTAGGGGCCTTATAAAGCCTCACTCCCCCAGGACCCCGCTCCTGCCCTGGTGTCACCCACGTGCCGGCCAAGACCCCGCCCTGTTCCTGGGAACTGGACACCTCCTTCCACACTGAGAGCCACAGAAGGGGAGGAGGATCCAGTATTTGTCGTTCTGAAGATAGTAAATCACCTTGGATGCAGCCCAGGACCCGAGGCCTGATGGAGGCAGAGTCGGAAGCACCTGGAGTCTTGATCCAAGGCACAGGCTCATGTCCCTAAGTCCCAAGAAAAGTCCTTTGTGCCCCAAGACCCAGCATCCCCTGAAATACCGGTACCATGGGGCTACAAAACTCCCACCTTATACCACTCTGGACCACAGTGCTAACCCTCTAACTTCTCATGCATCCAGAACTGATTCTTGTAATCCCTCCCCACAATAAAGCATTGTAGGCCTACAGATCCTCTTGCCCCACACTCTCCAATGCAGAAATATGAGTCTCCAAATCAAGTTCCCAAGCATTTCAAAATCAAGGTCCTCCAAACAATGTGGCGTTCCAGCAGCCCCTACTCCCCATTCCCCAGATTGGTGCCTGACATCCTCTCCTCAGAAAAAACAGAACTCGGGAGCCAGGCTTATTTTTTATTTTTTTTCTCTTATCTTTTTACAAGCCAAATTTATGCTCCTTGATATTACGTGGCATTTAAAAAATCACACATGGGGGGTCACAGAAGAGAACTACGAACAAAAGCACTGCCAACTCCTCTGCCAAATGTAAGATTTCCTAGATTCTCCCAGCTGTTCTGTAAAACCAAAGCAGCTCATGTGGATCCAGCCTCAGCTGCGTCTAAGGAACTTGGTAAAATCTTCTCCCAGTCCCTTAAAGACAAGTAAACTCAAAGTACAGTGGGAGAGACAGAAGTGGAGCCCAGATAATTAAAATTTAAGACCATAGAGACTGGGGCAGAGAGAGATACTCCGGTAGCGCACGCGCACACACACACACTCAGTGGTGCATTAAGGGCTCCCTGGAATCCTCCTGGGGAAGAAGTTTGCCTCCATCTGAGTGAAGTTCTCCTGGACTCTGCGTCACCAAGCACATGCTAACCCCATCCAAATTTCACCCCAACCTGACCCAATCCAAGGGCATCACACAACCCCACCAGCTAACCCTAACTCAGCCCAACGCCTACATCTTCAGAGCCCCATTTCAAATCAAGTCAAGCTCACCCCATACTCACATCCAACATGACCCAACGCCCACCTCTCCACCTCCCACACCAAATGTACTCTCCACTTCCATACAATCCCGATATATTTCCCACCCAACATCACAACAAACTCACTGCCAACCCGAACCCGGGCCACCCTAAAACACCCTGACACCACCAGCCCCAAACCCAATAAAATCTCTAACCCAACTCCAAGAAGATACTCCATTCCAACTGACCCTCGTTCTAACATGTATTTCATTTGCATGTACCACACCGGCCAAAGGAAACACAACACAACCTCGCTCTAACTCTCAAACCTGTCCTCGCCCCTTCCCCACTGTCCCTTCTCGGCTCTGACCGCGTGGGAGTGCGAGCCTCCACCCAGCCTGCACACCCCGTGGTGCTCATCAGGCGACAGGGCTGGTGGCGGCACAGTGAGACCTATATCTGGAAGTCACCAGGGAGGAGGGGGACTGGGAGTAAACGCTTGAGATTCCATCAATGGCAACACTGACCGTACTAAAGCATCTTTCAGCCACAGTTCCCTTTGGTCAGAGCCTCCTTATTTAACGCGGGGGCCCAGTCCAGCCGTAGGCAGGATAAGCCCTTCTAGATTAGGGGTGAGCCGCTGGAGAGGAGCATGCCGGGATCATCACGGCAAAATGACGTCACGGCGGCCATTGTACTCCTCCCCTTAGAGGTTGCCGGTTGACGCATGATGTATCCCACAGGCCTCTGCGATAACGTACATGCGCCTAAGGGCAGACCAGGTACCACACTTGGGGAGGAAATGAAAGACGGAGAGATGGCGTTGCTTGGTCCTCCATCCCTCTGGCAATCTGGAGTTCGCATTACCTCCACCCCATTACTGCCGGTTCCAGTCCCCACCCCTTAGGGACCAAGAAGTACCAAGCCTCACACCCCTGGAACTGAACCCTGTTCTTCCTGCAGCACAGGATCCTTGGTCCCCTAGACCATTCCCACATCTGCGCTGCAGGAGGTCAGATGTTGCCAGTTTCATCCCTTAGGGACTGAAAGTTCAAAACCCACAGCCCGCCCTCCCGCTCTTCCTCTTTCAGAACTCAGGAGTCCGAGTCCGCTCCCCGGCTCTGCCCCTCGCCCCCTCGTCGACCTGCTCTCACTCTGGGTTTGGCAGTGGGGCCGCTGCCAGACACTGTCGGCAGAACTGTGGTTAGGCTAGAACCGTAGTTGGGCTGGGGAAGCGGGACACGGTGTTTGACGGTGGTCTGTTGAGGTCGCCCTGCACACAAGGGTGGAAGATGCAGTCTGGACAGCATTAGGGAGAAAGTTCTCCATGATTTTCACATGCTTGTGTTATAAACCAAAAAAAATTATCACTTTAAAAACAGGCTCTCCCTAGGTCACTCAGTCTGGCCTTGGACTCAGGAACCTTCCGCCTCCATCTGAATGCCCAGAAATAGCTCTCTTTTCAAGGACACTCGTAAGTCAGGAAGTCCTTCCTCAGATCCAGTTTGCTTGCTGTCTCTCTTACTACATGTTTATTTACTGTTTAGGATAGCAGATGTAATGTCAGTTTTGAGCAC